GATATGGCACAAGGGGGCACATCCATAAAGGAGCTCAGCTCAGCACTCAACTTGGGGAAACAGGATCCGCGCTCCAGAAGGACACTCATCACCAGCACATGACTAACCCTCAAGACCCAAACAGGTAGTGATGGTCCAGGTAACACAGAGCAGCACCAGGAAGATGGGGGACAGAAGAACATGACCCTTATGAGAGAGCTAATCATAGTAAGGAGATCTTTCTGTGGGGAAAAGTGCAAACAGCCATAAGCTCATGAGGGGTTCACCATTGTCAGTCATTAAGGAAATGCAATTCAGACCAAACTTAGGTACCACTTAAACACCAACAAGTGCAGGTAAAACAGATGATAACTAGTGATGACATGAATTTGGAAGAATTGAAACCCTCACACATAGCAGAATGGAAAAAGGTAGAGCCACTTTGGTAAAACAGTCTGGAAATTGCTCTAATGACTAATTCTGAAGGTAACATATGGTCCAAAAACTCTGTTCACAGCATAGACCCAAAAAAAAAAAGTGAAATCATATACCCACAGAAAACTTGTATAAAAATGTTTCTTGTACACGGGGACTACACCTGAGAGGAGAAAGCATGCGTTGCACAAACAGAAACAATGACATCAAATATATATATGCATATACAGTGTTTGTTGCAGGATTAGTGTTCCAAATTGTCAAATGGTGAAAACACCCCAAAATCTGTCCATGAATGAATGGATCAACTGACCAGGGTGTGTCCATAGCATAGAATATCCCTCAGCCATGAAGTGGAATGAAATCCTGCTCCATGCACCAGTGGGACTGAAGCCGGGAGATGCTGTGCAATGACAGGAGTCAGCATTAAGACCACACACCACACGGCTCCACTTGTATAAAAGCCCAGAATAGAGAAATATAAAGAAAGACAGTTGCTTTGAACTGTGGTGTTTGGAGGCAGGAACTGGAGGATGGGGTTCATTTAGTATTAAAATTATGTAAAACTGATTGTAGTGATCATAGCACTATGGTGAAGATACCAAAACCTACTGCATTATATTGACTTTCATGGTTAAAACAATGTATTTGAATTATATCGCAAAATAAGTGATGTAGATATGAAAGGTGAATATATTTCATTCAAGTCTGACAAAATTTCACACTTGTGAAAAATTTAAAAAACTTTCCCACAAGAGAGATAAATCCCATTTCTTTATTTCAAAATTCACCTTTTCTTTCTTCAAATATTTTTCTATAAAGTTACGGAGTCCCCTCACCAGTGTGTGATCTCATGTGATGCCAAGGCCGCTGGGTGCCTGATCCCGTCTCCAGTGAAACACCTTCCTGGCCCCTGAGTAACACTGCACCCCGGTGTCATTGTTCATGTCGGTGTGGCCTCTGCAGTCCAGTACACACGCCGCCCACAGTGTTACTAGAGGACCTATGAGAGAGCCCAGGACAGAATGCACAAGCAGCTCTTTTATCCTCACCTGGCCACATTATGGGCATCAGTACAAAGAGAGGGGTAGGTGACCACTCCCCTGTCTTCAGCCCAGGATCCCAACAGGATCAGCTAAGGGGCTGGACTCAACCCACCTGAGTCCAAACAGGGCTGGTCCTGGTGGTCCCCTCTAAGCTGCTCTGCTGCTGGAGACCCGGATGTGTCACCTGCAGATTCCCCCTGATGACACCCTGATCACTGCCCCAAAGCTCTCATGAAAACCTGTCACAGTGGGACTGAACTGGCTTTGATCATAGCATCTGAGAGTGTCACTGGTTTTCATCCTCAGAAAACCCAGAACGTTCCCTGTTGCAGGGCAATGGTCTCACTGCCAGCACACATGGAAGCCAATATTCTGACTCTGACTACTGACAATAGAAAGAGTTGCCTCTGAGCTGGCAGACAAGGACACAGGGGACTCAAGGCTCACATATGTCTCCCCCATCTGGGATAAGGGAGCTAAGACAGGATTATGGCAGTGACGGAAGAAAGGAGGAAAGTTGGGGCTGATAAAGTATGAGCCTAACACAGTTTCACTAGTCAGACAAAAATCAGTCCAGACATGGAGAGGTTTTTTCTCCAAATAATTTATCTTTTGAGTGAGGGTGTTTTGGTATCAGTGGTTTAGAAATTAGCAGGTCAGCCATGTTTATCGCATGCTCAGGATGTCTGAACCCATATCTGCTCCAGATCATGAGATGACACTTCGAACCTGTGTTCACAAGAGAGGCCCCAGGGCCCACCCAGTGGTGGCATGTGGGCTCTACAGCATCAGGCTTCTGTTCCTGGACAGGTCTCCGGGCCCCAACACTCCACTCTCAGATGCTGCCCAGTGTCTCTCCACCAGCCTGGAAGGGGAACACGTCTCCTTGCAGACTGGCTCTGGGCAGATCCTGGGGTGGAGCCAAGCACCTTGATTGGAACCCCTGTTTTTGAAAAGAAAAAGATACACATATATGGAGTTAGATAAGTATTGAAGGTCCAGGATTGTGAGGGTGAATTGGCCATGGCTTTATCCTCACAGAAACTGAATCAAGTGTCTTTGGAGACACTTCCTATTACTTGATCCATCTTTCTCCTGACAGCAGCTCCAAAGGCCCCTCTGCAGCCTGTCATTATCAACACCTACTGGTCATTTTTTATCTGATATTAATTACCTGTTAATCATCCTTGCAATCACTTTTATTAATGGATTGATTTCTATGAATCATTTTCCCAATGGTCAGGAAATGACAGGTCTTTTATATGCACAGCAAATACAAAAGACATTTTTTTATTCTACAAGAACTCTGGAGGGAGATGGCTTTTCCACAGAGACCCACCCATTCCATGAGATCCCAGATCTGGCTTATTCTCTGGGTCAACCACACTGTACGCAGACATTGTTTTCCTTTGTTAACATAAGACCTAGGAGTGGCTGCTGCAGCTGCAGCTATCACATCCTCATTCAAGGGGAAAGATGCTGTATGAATCAAGTATGACCCTTTAATTCACACCAATCTTCATTGAAAAGAATCACGGTGAATTGGCACTTATCATACCAGCTAAAACTGGGCCACTTTATCAATCCTGTCAAGAACCTGTGAACAGTGTCCAGCTTTCAAATAGATGAGCCAACACACAGGGGACTCATGAGGACCATCTGCTGTGTCTGAAAACCAGGGATGCTCTTGCTCTGCTCCATCCACAATATGGAAACTCCCAAGAGCAGGGACAGTGCCATGTTCATGTCATACACCAGAAGGAATGTGTGCAAGACTGGAGTGAGGGTGACAAATATTTCCTGGACAGATGTTCTCCTATCTGTCTTGGGTGCAGTCACCCCAAGGCCCCATGATGGCACTGCACACACAGCTGGCACCATGAAGAGCCATTCCCTGAATCCTCTTCTCCCCAGTGCCACCTTGTGATCTGATAGTTCTTCCAGGTGTGTCTCAGGTGAGTCCTGCACCACCCTCCTCTAAGTAAACATGCTCATATTTTCCTTATTGATCTGAGGTCTCTGTCCCTGACCTTGAGGTAAACAGAGGCCACATATGAAAGTGCAACCCATGGACCAGGGAATCACCAGCTGAGACGATGCCTCTGCATGCCTGAGCAGCTGATGTCCCTGAGCCTCCTGCAGCCAGTGCAGAGTGGCCACCATGGGGCAGGAAAAAGCCACTTGTGTCAGGGTGTTTCAAACACCCTGGAGGGTGTGACAGTAGGGTTAGTCACTATGAGGGAACACTAGAGAAATTCAGTAATATTTTCCTACAGTCTCATCCTTGACAATCATGCACCATGTTCAGACTTCAAGACCTGATCTGAACTGTTGAATTACTAATTTCACTGGCACAAGTTCAGACACATCAGTAATCATCTCCCAAACACACACAAGGCAGACTAGCTAAAATGACTTTACTTCTTCACACCCAACTCTGTACTCACACATTCTGCTCCTACCTTTTGGTCAGAGACCCTCCTGCCCTGACAGAAAACCATCCACATCCTAGAGGAGAGCCTGGTACCCAGTGATTGCTGCAAAAACTTTTGTTTTCTTGATTATAAATTGACACTTTTTTTTTTAAAGACAAAGCCTCTTTGCTATTTATTTATTTATTTATTTATTCATTCATTCATTCATTCATTCATTCATTCAAGCACTGGGTACAGTCAGAAGTGCGGGAGGGTGAGAGAATTCACCAGAGCCAGAGTGGAGAGCAGAGCAGGCAGACTGACAAAATACATTGCTGAGGGGAGCAGCGGGGGCAGGAGAGGTCTGCGCACCATGTGGGACCTTCACCTGGTGGCCCGGGAGCAGCTGGGGATCGAACTGGCACTGCAGAGGCTGCGGGCAGCTTCGCAACACAGTGCTCAACTGCTGCGCCACCAGGGAGGCCCATAAATTGATACTTTTATTAGTAATATATTATACAAGAATTAAATACACTTAATTAGGGTGAACATTGATCTCAGCTGCTATTAGAGTTTGCACAGGGGTCACCAAGCATTTCTTGGGAGGACATAATATCTATCTGACCGAAGCAAACTTGGGGATACTGAGGCACAGCCCCTATCACCAGCCTCAGGCAACATGGAAGAAAATTTAAAACCTGAATGATGCTGTGTGTGTTGTGCAAGGGAAGAGGATTATTCTGTCTGCTATCGGGTACTGTGCTCTGGGGTGAAACCCCCCCACTAAGCCTCCTAATGGCACCTACAGGCCAGAACCAGAAAACACAGACAGACTCCACCCTGAGCTCTGCCCCGGAAGGGGCTTCCAGCACAGAGGCCAGGACAGAGTCTGGGGAGGAGATTCAACCAGACCACAAGACCAGAAAAGAATAGAGTCCCTAAGCTGAGGGTGGGGACTCTAAAAATAATATCCCTGAGTCTTCTCTGCAACCACAATGCTCCCCAAGCAGCAGCCTGACCCTGGCTGATTTGCATACCCAGCAGCTCTCTCCAGCAAGGGGATAAGACAGGCCTGGGGGGACCCTGCCCAACCTCAGCCTCAGGGAGCAGGATCAGGGACCCCATCATGGCCTGGACCCCTCTCCTCATGGGCCTCCTGGCTCACTGCACAGGTACCTAATCCTTGCACCCCAGGTCCAGGCTGAGGGACCAGCCTAGCACTGACTCTGTGCTCAGGGGGGCTGCATTGAGGGCCTGATTCCCATGATTCTGCTTAAGCGGGGCCTGGTATGGGTAGACCCCGCTGTGCTCACTGCCGGGTGTGAGCCTGAGGGCCTGTGCCTGCTAAGAGAAGTGGTGGGGAATTTAATCATTTGTCATAATGTCATACACATCCAGGTTCAGAAGACACTGAAGATGAGACTAAGGGAAGGGGATCCAGAAACCACAGGGTCTGATCAGGCCAGGCAAGAGGAGATGCTCTGGGAATGGGTCCTGCACATTAACCCCCTTCTCCTTTTCTCCCTTGCAGGCTCTGTGGTGTCCTACGAGCTGACTCAGCCACCCTCAGTGTCAGTGTCTCTGGGACAGACGGCCAGGATGACGTGTCAGGGAGACAGCTTTGATAATGAATATGCTCATTGGTACCAGCAGCATCCAGACCAGGCCCCTGTGCTGGTCATTTATAAGGATAGTACCCAGCCCTCAGGGATCCCTGACTGGTTATCTGGCTCCTGCTCTGGGAACACGGTCACCCTGACCATCAGCGGGACTCAGACAGATGACGAGGCTGACTATTACTGTATGGTGTGGTATAGCATCAATGATCCTCCACAGTGACACGTGGCCATGGAGAAATGAGACACAAGCCCCTTATCCATCTGGTCACATCTCCTCCAGTCCCAGGGGGATGGAGACACAGCCATGAGCAGCTCTGCTCCGGGTCCCAGATCTGAGTCCCCAGGCTCCCATTCCACCAGCCCCCAGGCCGGTCTGCAGTGTGTGTGTCAGGAGTGGATGAGGGCTCAGGGCAGGCTGTCCCAAGCAAGCCTTTGAATTGAAGATACAGCGATGACATGAAGGACAGAGAGAAGAACATTTCTCTGTGGTGTTAAAACATAAAATGAGTCATTCAAGAAATAGTCACAACTTTTGAGAAACACTGTATTTGAATGATCAACACAAAACTTCAGTCAGGACACTCCCCGCAAGGGAAGTGAGGAAAGGCTTTACAGGGAAGAGGCAGAAGCAGAGCAAAGTTATGATTTGCTGGCCTAGATGTGAGTGGTGCCGTGACAGGGAGACCCATGGCAGTTGTGATTATGTGTCCTCAGGTTTTGGTCTGAAACCTGAGGGTACAAAGGACGAGGCTCAGGTGCTGACACTGGCCCCTCAGGCTTCACGGCCGAGGCAGCCTCATTGACGCTTTGTGTTGTGTGTTTAACAAGTTGTCACGGTCCTTTGATTTCCTGAGCGTGGTGACTGGGACAAATGTCCTGGATGAATCCCCAGAACCTCCCACCTGACCTGGCCTGTTTAAGTGCCACACTCCAGTGCTCCTCTGAAATGAGAATGGAGAAAACCATTGTAGTGGACAGTGGAGAATGAATGTAGGACCCTTAGGACTTGAAATGCACACACACACACACACACACACACAGAGCACCTCTTCAGACACTGTGGGAGCCCCTGGTCGCTCACACCTGAGTGTTCATGGAAGTCCAGGGTCTGAGGGAAGCTGTTTCCCAGATGAAGCCTCCTCTCTGAGAGACTCAGAGGCAATGATGCCCTCATGTAACATGGGGAGCATCAGTCACCATCAGCTAAAATTAAGTGACAGTCATCACAATTGTCAATGATGTCCTCATTTCAGACTCCATGGCTGTGATCTGAGGCTTATAGAATTGGCACTGAGGATGAGGCTGAAGGAAGGTGGAACCATGGGGACAGAGACAACCACTGGATCCGAGTCCAGGCCAGGCAAGTGGAGGTGCTCTGGGAATGGGTGCAGCACTTTAACCCTCCACTCCTTTTCTCTCTTGCAGGCTCTGTGGTCTCCTATCAGCTGACTCAGTCACCCTCAGTGTCTGTGTCTCTGGGACAGACGGCCAGGATGACATGTCAGGGAGATACACTGGAGGTGAATATGCTAACTGGTACCAACAGAAGCCAGGACCGGCCCCTGTGACTATCATTTATGAGGATAACAACCAGCCCTCAGGGATCTCTGACCAGTTCTCAGGCTCTAACTCAGGGAACACGGCCACCCTGACCATCAGCAGGACCCGGGCCGAGGACAAGGCTGACTTTTACTGTCAGGTGTGGGATCATGGTGACTTGAACTCACAGTAACACAGGTTTATGTGGGAACTGGGACACACACTCCTTCCCCATCTGGGTCACACTGTCCTCCAGCACCAGGAGGTTGAAGACACAGCAACGGGCAGTTCTGTGGATTCAGGAAGACAGAAAAGATAGTTTTAGAGCTGTGGATAGATTTGACAGGCCTTTAAATATGAAGGAAGGAACTGAGCACTGGCTGACCAGCAGGCAGCAAGACAGTGGGGCTGGGAGTCAGGCAGCCACTGAGTCCCAGCACCACATAAATCTCCATACTCTCTTGGTTCTCCTCTCAGTTTCTATCTCAGTCTCATCTCAACTCATCTCAGTCTGGTGATAATGATCTTCCCTGGGCATCAGCACTAGTAGGTGGGCACCCTGTGTTCTCCCTTCTTGGCCTGGGTGTCCCCAATTATATGCATGTGGGACATTTTGGTCTGGGTGACATTTCGTGCCCCGTGCCCATGCACCCAGTACTTTTTGCACCAACACGTTATCACGTGTGGGCGATGAGACCTAGGAGGAAAGCAAGGTCACAGGTGACAGCCACAGAGGCTGGCAGTGGAAGGCAGGACAATGTCTGGCTTAACTCCATTTTCCTATACCACGTCATGGGTAGTACATCTTCCTTCCAAAAAAAAAAAAAAATCACCTAAAACCCGATTGCAATGGACATTGGCAAATGAACCTAAAATATCTTAGGTCCTGATACACACAGCATGACAAAAATCAACTCAAAATGGATAAAAGAACTGGACATAAGGCCTGGAACCATAAAATATACAGAAGAAAATATAGGTAAAACACTACAAGACGTACATATCAGTAAACTCTTTAAAGACTCATCACCCAAAGCAAAGAAATTCAAGGAAAAGATAGGCACCCGGGATACATCAAACTGAAAAGCTTCTGTACAATAAAAGAGACATTAACCAAAACAGAGAGACACCCCAATAATTGGGAAAAAAATCTTTGCACTCCATTCAGCTGATAAGGAACTGATCGCAAAGATATAAAAAGAACTCACATGACTCAACAAAAACAAAATAAACAATCCAGTCAAGAAATGGGCAGAAGAACTTAAAAGACATTTCTCCAAAGAGGAAATGTAAATGGCCAACAGGTATATGTAAAAATGTTCAACATCCCTGATAATCAGGGAAATGCAAATAAAAGCCACATTGAGATACATGAGTAAGAATGGCACATATCAAAAAAACCAGCAACAACAAATGTTGCTGAGGATGTGGTGAAAAAGGAACTCTCCTACATTGCTGGTGGGAGCGCAAACTGGTCCAGCCACTGGACCAGTGTCTGGAGTTTCCTCAGTCTACTAAAAATGGAGCTACCATATGACCTGGCAATTCCACTCCTAGGGATCTAGGATCCCTAGGATCTACCCAAAGGGATCTACCCAAAGGACACAAAAACATTGTTTCAAAAGAACACCTACACTCCTATGTTTATTGCAGCACTTTTTACAATAGGCAAAACCTGGAAACAACCCAAATGCACCAAAATAGTTGACTGGATCAAGAAGATGGGGTGTATATACACAGTGGAATATTATTCCTCAATCAAAAAAAAAAAAAATACTCATGCCATTCGCAGCATGTGGATGGAGCTAGAAGGAATTATGCTCAGTGAAATAAGCCAGAAGGAAAAAGAAAAATATCAATGGTTTCACTTATAGGGAAATCAAATAAGACATAAGTGTAAAAAATAATAACAGTGCAAAGCACAACAAAGCAAAAACAGACAATTATAAACCAGGGACATCCTGCAGGGGAGGAGGAGGGAGAGGGATGAGAGGGAGGGAGGGAGGAGCACAAGGGGCTGAGGTGATGTGCATGGGTGCATTGGTGAAGGAAACTCTATAAGGACTACACCTGAGTTGGGGGAAGCAAATATTGTTTAAAAATGAACAATAATGTAAGAATTTTAAAAATAATTAATAAAAAAAAACCCCGACAGCATGGACTCTGCATGTCAAATGAGCCTTGGGAGGCCCAAGAGCGGCACAGAGACACCTCCAAAGTTCTAGAAAGACCCCTAGGACACTGGTGAGACCAATGTAGGAGGAAACTGCTTGAGGACGTGGAGGAACCACCCAAAGACAACAGAGTGACCCCTCCCTGCAAGCTCACACCCACATCAGCACTGTGCCTGCTCCCCAGACAGAGGACAACGCTCCAAAGTCAGTTTGATGAATCGGAAAAATTTGTCTTAACACAGGGGATTCACACAAGCCAAAGGCTGCTCAGGTGCCACCTTGAAAGTGTAAAGGCAAGTAGAAAGAATTCCATGTGTCCGAGCAGCTTTACTGAATTAAAAAAAAAAAAAAAAAAATCTCTAGCACAAGCACAGGGAGAGAGAATGCAAAACATCCGGGACTTAAAAAAGAAAATTCACCACACCAGGCGTCTATCAACATGTCCTGCAAAGAATCAGGACATATTAGCTGTACTAAGTGCAACAGTCTTAACCCAGACTGGTGCTGAAGATGCCCGGATGACAGAATATTGACAGAGGCATAGAAAGTCATTATTGTACTACACTTGACATTTTAAAGTATCACATTGAACTCCTAGAAATAAAATACAGTGTCTGAGATTAAATAAACAGTGGCTGGAGTAACACATTAGAAATTATGAATTAAAAGAGTGAAATTGGTAACACAGCCAGTAGAAAACATTCAAAATGAAATAGAGGAAAATGCATAAATGATGAGATTCTCTTTGAGTTATTGGTCAAATTCAGGTGAATGTGAGTAACTGGAAGCAACCAGAAGACAAGGCTGGGGCTGTAGCTAAAACTATTCTTTAAAGAAGTAATGAGTAAAAATATTCAGAATTTGATGGAAATATTAAATGTGTCAATCCAGACTTAGAAAACATTCATTACCAGAAAATGAAGAAAACAAAGAAGAAATTATCATAATGAATTTATGGGGAGTGGGAGGTAATGCCAGGTGAAACCAACAGCCAGAATACACCTGGGTCCCACCATCAAAGAGGCCTCCTCTGCCAGCAAATCCCTGCCTATCCCACACTCCCAGGCAATCTCACCCCTACCGCCACCATCCCTGGGCATCTGACAGACCTCGTTCACGCAAAATTATCCTTGTGTCTTCTGTTTCAAAGTCCCATCCCCATGCATCCATCCACATCAAAAGACCCAGTGAGATGCTTTACTGAATATTCTCCCAGGACCCTGTCCCTCTTGGCAATCCCTCCCCCAGGTCACCTCTCCTGACACCTCTCACCTGGAGATCACTTCTGTGAGGGCAGAAGGTGCACAGGCCCCACGAAACTAGTTTGAAGGGTTAATGAATTATCAGGCTTTTTATGCCACTAGACTCTGTGGCTATCACCTGGGCCTGATCGTGTTAATGCAGAAGGCGCTTGGACCAGGGGCACGGGACACAAGGGCCTGGTTGTGCACACCTGGGGGACTGGTGTACACACATGTGTAAGTGTGCACACCTGAAACGAGACCTG